AAAAAAACCCAGAAATTTATGACATTGCACAAGACTTTATGGATCTTTCAGGCTATCCCACTCATAATTTTATATTACTGATAGAATTATTTCATTCTCATTAACTCCTACACTGACAATTGCTATGTATCAAGTGATACTAAATTTAACACAAATAACAAGGTATAGTCAAAAGAGCATCTTCGAAGTAAGGGTCAGAGATCTAATTCCTAACACGATCACTTGAATAAGAAAATACAAAAACATATACAAAGAAGAAGTATTAATATTATCTGCTACTTTGATAGACAGCAAGCTAATGCATGAAGAACATTTTTTTTCCAAATGAAGTCTATCATCTTTTTATAACTTTAATGGAAGAGCCTTAGGCTTACCTAAGAATATCAAAGCTATACAACTGCTAGATAATTATAGAACTTAACTATAGCTAGAGTTAACAATTGGCTATGATATTTAAATTCCCTCTCAACTGTTGCCTTACTGATTCAATGATTTTACAAAAATTTTAGTGTATGAGATAACATTACCAAAGTGATCTAATAAATAAGTATACCAGTTAGATTGGTGATGTATAGTTTCTTCAATTTCACTTTAACATTAAAAGTGGAATTTTCAGTATTGCTTGGTTCTATGAACTGAATATTTGGGTCCTTCCTGAATTCATACGTTGAAATCATAACCCCTGAGGTGATGGAATTAGGAGGTGAGGTCTTTGGGAGGTGATTAAGTCACGAGGGCATGTATTAATAAAAGACACCACAGAGAGCTAGCTAGCTTCTCCTCCCATGTGAGGATGCAGCAGGAAGGCACCATCCATGAGGAACAGGCCCTCATCAGACACTGAATCTTCTGGCACCTTGATCTTGGGCCTCCCAGCCTCCAGAACTGGGAGAAATAAATTTCTGTTGTTTATAAGACATCCACTTTGTGGTATTTTATTATAGCAGCCCAATGGACTAAGACACTTGGATTCAGAGTTCTGTCCCAAGCCAAACACTGGGCAAGGCTTGCAGAAAACAGTGGCCCTCTCTCGTGCCTGGAGAAATGTTGTTCTTTAGATACTGAAGATGCTGGAGTGCTAGAGTCAGCGCTCTTGCAACACTCCAGCGTCCGTCCTTGCAGTGGTAGAAGGCTCTTCTTCACAAGTAGACATGGCAGAGAAAATGGACACAAACTGAAAGTAAGATTCTGCAGTGCACTGTGTCCACGAGGCATAAGTAATAGGGTGCCAGTTGAGAGGAACAACATTTGGAGTTTCCCTTCTCTATTTCATTAATTTTCCATGGTTTCCGGTTCTCTGTGTAGCGTATTAATGTGCACCACAAAGGGCTCTATCATCCAGAATATTCACTGAAATTTTGTTCACGGGAGTTGCACATATCTCAGAGGAGAACAGGAAACATGCAAGGGCACTGTGGCTCATGCACTGAGGGTAATCACAGACTCACAGATAGAGCATAGTTACTCACCATGAGCTACGTAAAATACTAAACCTCAGTACCGCTGAATACAAGTCCTCTGATATTTTCTTTTTAGCTCTTTTTTACCAAAGAAATTCCAGAAGTTGCTTTTGATGTTAAAGGAAAGCTTACAGACCCTGGCCCTCCACTATTCATGTTCATGAACCCACCCCACTGCCCCACCTCGGTAAGGTTTTAAATAGTTTGTTTTAAAATGAGCCCCAAACTGAAGTCATTACCTCCAGGGAGTCACTTTCACACTCTCCTTCCTCTGTGCTTCTCCCCTTCTCTTCTGTAATGGTGTTCACCATTTCAAAAAACCTACAATGCAAGTTGACATGTGGGTGGGTGTTCATAACATATACAATATTAAATATAACCAAGGACATGCCAAAGTGATTTCAGAACAAAAATTGAGAGCTAACAGAGTCTCTAGAATCAGGCAATAAACAAACTATCAGGATCAGTGAGAAAAATATGATTTTTCAAAAAAAAAACACAGGTTGGTAGGATTTTCTAGAAATTTCAGACCTAATGCTTCACTTCAAATAATAGTAATATAATACAGTATGCCACAGAATTAGAACAATGAGTCTGGACAGGGTCATAGAAGTATTAAGAATGTGGACTTGGATACCAGACCCAAATTATCAGTATCTGTGTGATCTTGGGCAAGGCCCTTCACCTCTCTGAGCAGCACTCCTTCATTATACAAGCACCTACCTCATAGATTACTGGGAAGAGAAGATAATAACTTATAAAGTGCTTAGCACACTATACTCATTATTAGCTAGTATTGTTTTGCTACTGTTAATGTTATTATTTAAAATGGGACATAAAAATACCTATATTCTGGAATAGTGTCTCTAAATCCTGAGGTGACTATTTGATAAGCGTTGGCCACTATAACATGTGATCTCAGTTACTATATCTGCTGCCTGTGCACCTGGATATCATACATGTAGGGTCCCATAAATACAGTCTGTGAAAGGCTGGCTTAAACAGTTGTGCATCAGTATTCATGTGGGTTTGGTTCCAGGATCCAACCAGATACCAAAATCTGAGGATGCTCAAGTCCCTTACATTAAATGGCATCATATTTGCATATAATCTATGCACATCCTCTAAATTGCTTATAATACTTAATACGATGTATACGCTATGTATTTAGTTGTTATGCTGTATTATTTTTATTGTTACAGTCTTTTTTGTTGTTTTTATTTTCTGAATATTTGCAATCTACAGTTGGTTGAATCTGCAGATGTGGAACCCATGGATACAGGGCTGACTGTATATACATTGGTGATAGAAGCCACCTCTCTTTATGTGACAAAATAAACATTTTTGTTCAGAAACTCTTCTTGTAACATTTTTTGTCTAGAGACCATTTCAGAGCCAAGCAAAATAATTACAGTGAGAAACAGATGTGCCCCCTTCCCCCTGTGTCTAGTTCATTCAGAGGAGACGCTGATGGGCACAGACATAAAGAAGGAGAAGTACTATGAACAAGGGCTGATGATCTCACAGGCAGGTCATGCTCAAGCTATGGATGGCAGCCCAAGGAAGAGTAGTTTATGGTGTCACAAGAAAAGTTTACCTAACACAACTCAGAATCTTTCTTCCTATTTTTGTACCTCATTTTATCCATCCATCCATCCATCATCCATCCAGTCATCCCTCTATCCATCCGTCCATCCAGTCATCTATCTATCCATCTACCTATCCATCCATTCATCTATCCATCATCCATCCAGTTATCCATCCATCCATTCAACAAATCCTCATTGAGTGTCCACTAGGATCAAGAACTATTCTGGCCATTGGGAACATGACAATGAGCAAAGTCTATTTTGGAGTTTGAAGCCTATTTATGGAGCTCACACATTGCATCTACTTCCTCACTCTTTCTCTCTACACCTTTCTTGGAGATCCACTACAAGGAAAAAAAAATTCCCAAGCCTAACTGGAATAACAATATACTCTAATGAAGATTAAATAGTATAATGAGTTACAGACAAAAGCAAGTTTAACCAGGAGGAAGAAAAAAGTGAAAGACATAAAAAAAAAAAAAATCTAGTTTTAAAGACAAGCTTTAAGACCTGGGAGAAACACTTGCCTTGGCCACTCATGTAAAACTTTTCAATACGAACAATCTGTAAGCAGAATATAAAACTTACAGCGGGATGGGAGCACAATGTCATTGTTAGGAGCCTGGATTCTGAAGTCATGTGTGCCTGGATCAAATGCCAAATTTTTATGCTTATTGACTATATGATTTTAGGCTAAACTCTCCAATACTCTATTTGTTTTACTCTTTTCAATGAAGACATTGATACTACAAATCTAATAGGGTTTCTTTGAAGATTAAAATAAATATTAGCTCTGGGGTAAGGATTTCATAAATCTTAGTTACAGTTACCATAGAAATAAATCAATAGCCTTGAGAATTTAATTGTAAATAGAAAATCAGACCATACATGAGCTAGGAATTCTTTCTTATTTCCAAGTTTTTTTTTTGACCATATGTCTTATGACATTAAAGATAATACTCTAGCCAAGAATTGCAGATTCAACAAACACTTTTTTTTTGCACCAAGATAAAAATGAATGACTGTAGATTGTAGCTAGCATATCAGTCATTTATTATGGTGTTAAATAGTAATTTTTTTTTCAGAGACAGGGTCTCGCTCTGTCGCCCAGGCTGGAGTGCAGTGGTGCAGTCACAGCTCACAACAGCCTCCACTGAATGAGAACAACCCCCAGCAAAATTGAGTCCAAACTGCCTTTCATTTACACTTTGACTTCTAAACTGTCACTCACTTTTCTAGTTCCCCATAGTCAGTCATAGTGTTTTAAAGAAATATTAAGTATTAACAGAGAAACAAACCTAGGGAGGTTAATGCAAACATACAACGCAGTCCATGGATTTTTGGATTATCTTTTGTATTAGTATAGATCAGAACACTGGCTCTTAACCCAGGCTTGCCCCCACCAGAATATCCAATATAATTAGTCTGGCACGGGGCCCAGGTACTTTTTTTAAAGCTCACCAGGGAATTCAAATATGATGTAGGGTTAAGCACCACTGTTGTAGACAATTGGGAGATTATTCAAAAGAATTTGAGAATGAAAATTTTGGTAATCATATTTAATAAGTGAGCACTTCAAAAATGAGGTGTAATATTTAACAATTAACCAGTAAGTCTTGGGTAATGTTTTATCTGTGAGAAAATAAATTAGGAATAAGAAAAAGTTTGATTTATTAAAGAGAACCCCCAAAATTCTGACTGCTAAACATACCACATAATTATAAAATATTAGCTCAAATAAAATATTTCTACAACCACACAGCCATGAATTTTTCATAGGAGCTCCACGTGTACTCATTAGTTGAAAATAATGATCAGGTAAGAACAATCTTTTTCACACATATGACTAATACGTACTTTTTACAATGAAGTTCTGTACAGAAATAGATTTGGAAATCGTCAGAATTATGAAGCACATAAAGAAAGCAGCATCGTTCTTCAAATTTAGAAATGCTGAAACAAACAAGAAGCATTATTCAGGGAATTATCAATTCTTGTATGGTTCTGTTATGAAAATTAAATACTTTTAAAATTCAATCCCAATTATGATACCAGTGTTGTTTATAACAAAATGTTATAAATAGCACTTTTAAAAGTAACATCCCCTGTACCACAATACTAAAATTATTTACTTTTCTGAGAATTGTCCTCCTACTCATATCTGCAGAGTAGGGCTGCTCTGGGTGTTATAGGCACACATAAGCTACATGTCCCTTCTAATGAGCGTGGAAAGGTGTCTTGCTCACTACAGCAATAATCTGTGTGCTGGGAGAAAAAGCATAAATATCAACTGGCTAGCTTACCTTGGTGATTCTGGCTTTATGGGATCTGCAAAAAAATGAAATGTTTCCAAAGCTAGGAAGGCAATTTGTGGAGGCAGTAAAAAGCATCTCATTAGTTATAGAGATTTTAAAGGAGTGAAGAAATAGAGAATAGCACTTGGTTTCGACTTAGCAAGTGGTTTACCTCAGAGCAATATGAAACAATTTTGCATTGACCAGCTAGGCCATGCTGTTTTATGCCAGGGTTGGCAAACATTTTTGGTAATGGGCCAGAGAGAAGATATTTCAGTTTTTTTTGGGCCAAACTACACAACTCTGTCTTTGGAGCATGAAAGCGGCCTTCAATTACAAATAAATGAGTGAACATGGCTGTGTTCCAATAAAACTTTATTTATAAGAACAGGCAGTGGGCCATGTTTGGCCCATGGGTCATAGTTTTCCAACCCTGATTTTATGCCTTTGTGCCTGCGGTTCCTTCAATTTGGAATACACGTCATTTTTTACTGTAAAAAAAAAAATTCTATTCATCTTTAAGGCCCAGCATAGACCTTACTGCCCCTCTCTCCCTGCCCTAATTCTACCCTAAACAGAAAAACTTCCTTTTACATTTCTGTTCTCTGGATATACTTTTATCATTGCTTATCTCACACTGTAGTATCATTAGTTGTTAAATGTCTGTTCTCCTCCCTACTGGGCTGTGAGCTCTTCAAGAGGGAGTCCATGTTTTAGTCATTTTTGTATCTTTAGCAGAACAGGAATCAACATTTGACACATAGTTCAATAAATGCCCATTGACTTGAGCTGAGCAAGTTCTGAGATGATGCAAGACAAACTGCTAACCTAGTTGGACTGTATTCCATAGTTTGTCATCTCTTCTTTATGGAGGGAAGCCAGGAAAACTTAGCTCTCTTTTAAGTCACAGACTAGAGCTCAAGTTTCCTAACACATAAACCAGCAATAGCCAGATGTAGGCATTCTATGTATTTGCTATAAATCACAACACCTGCTATGTAGAGCTACCACGTCTAATTAAAGAAAATTATTAATAATTCATTGGAAAACTGATGTGATAAAGTGAAATTTACATTTACCATACTTTCCTAAATGGATTGCTTAAAAAATGCAGCAATAAATAATGAGTTCCTTGCTAATGACTAGTTTTAAAATTTAAATATTTAGAGAGTAAAGCTTTATTTGAGAAGGTATCAATTGGAAAGATATATAATGAGTCAGTCTCTAATCCTGCTGTTACTGTTCAGATCATTCATGAGGTAACAGGTAGTTTTATTAATACCAGGCAAACTCTAATTATTAGTGACTCAGACTGCTCTACCAATTCATGCTCTAACAAAACCAATTACTATTATTCCAAAAGCAACAGGATATTGCATAACTGGCCTGCAGAAATCTATTGTCTCTCATTTCTATTATGTGGGGATAAATAGCAGTAAACACAACTAATTTGGTTTGAAATTTGCAAGAGCTAGTTTAGCATGAGCTTCCTTTTATTTTATTTTTTTGATTCATATGCCAGAGCATGAGCTTCTATAGAACAAGTATTTAAACACTTAACCACTGACTCAATTCTGAAAAATAATCTTATTTCTAAATCCCAAGAAATGGCATTTTCTGAGCCACAGGCATTATGACAGCAATGTCAGAACTGAAATGAACTGCAGTTCACCACTGTAATCTCAAGAGCACTGCAGGAACACTTTAGGAAAAGTTTTTAAAAATGGATTCCCTGTAATCTCACATCATTAATACTAGCTGCAGGACACAAGCTGGTAGATGTAGCATGTGTGCTTTGGATCCTTTCAAGGGGAGAGTAGTTCCTGGTATATCAAAAGGACAGAAAAAGATCCTATAAATAAATCAACAGCTCAGCCAGCCAGCGAGGACCTCCACATAGCTCAGTTTTATCTACATTCTGATTCTGGTCCATAGTTCACATTCACCCCACAGTCACCATGTTTGTTTAAGTAGGTGAAAAGTACCGATCAGTGTGACCCAACAGTGAACATCTGTTGCAAATCTTTTCATAATGGAAAAAGATTGAACCAACTGAAGAAGGTTGGGTATTTCCACCAATAGAAGAATTTTTGAATTTCTTTGCATTTAAAAAAAATCATGATTAAAAGTCCTATCCAGGCTATGAACATTCCTGAAAAATGCCTTATAAGTAAACGGAACTTACCAAAGAAACTTACCTCACTCCCCTGATAGAAGAAGCACTAAAATTCCACTCGTGTATGCCTTTCTAGAACACAG